TCTTGTGTTAGGTCTTTTGACATAAAACAGTCATAGAGCCTAACCCAGCAATCCTCTGTGTTTTCAGGGGAAACCGCTCCGTGAGAAGTTTCTGGAGTGAGGCTCCTTCAGTAACTCATGGCATATTCCGCCCCATCTTCAACATTACACTCCACAGGGATTATATTAAAGCCAGTCCCCCAAAGAAATGTGTTCTGCTTTGTTTAAACCCACCAGTTGTAAGTTTATTTAACCAGGACCTCTCCTTCTCAAAACATTCTTTCACTTCTCAGAGGACAAAGACCGGTAAATATTAATATAACTTCTTATAATCAAAGCTGCCTTGGTGAAATACAAGTGAGGCCTTAAATATATGTGGCTGTAGAATTTACCTTTTTCTTAAACCCACGTGGAAAAAATTACGTAGCTATTCTGGGCAGAACTCAAGAGTCCTCCTGGCAAATCTAGTGTCAGAATTTTGAAAAACACACTGAGAACTGAAGTCTGCACAATTCCTTTAAGGGTTGTATCTGCTTCTATAAAAGAAGAATAAGGAGCTGGCAAGGGGTTTTAAAAAGCCATGATGAAAATAGAGGAAGGAGGAGGGGCGGGGAATGTGGCCTAGTGGTAGAATGCTTGCCTAACATACATGAAGCCCCTGGTTCGATTCCTCAGTACCACATGCACAGAAAAAGCAGGAAATGGTGCTGTGGCTCAAGTGGTAGAGTGCTAGCCCTGAGCTGAAGAGCTCAGGGACAGTGCCCAGGACCAGAGTTCAAGCCCCACGACTGAGACACACACACACACACACACACACGCACACACACACACACGCACACACACACACGCACACACACACACACGCACACACACACGTGCGCACACACACACACACACAGAAAATAGAAGAAGGAAATCATACAGTTTTCTCATTACCTATTTTTTTTGTTCAGCTGGAATCCTTTGCCCCATAAAAACACATATTTGCAAATAAGCAAGATGATTAAAGAAATGGGTCTTAAATCACAACACAGTGAAGCAGAGCATGCTGTGGTATGACTTTCTTGGTGCAGTGTTTTCTTAAGTAGTCTTAGGGCCTCCTCCTTCTGCAAGTTCTTCTTCCCCAAGCCTCCTATTGCTCCATTGCAGTTGCAGGTTGAATGAAGTCACAGAGCTCCGTGAGCCTGACAGTGCTTCTGTTGGGCTACTGTGTTGTAAAGCATCTGCTGATAAAGTCTCCAGAGCGTGTGGACGTGTCCTTAACCTAAATATGAGTTAACATCAACTTTGTTTGTCAGTATCTTACTTGTCAAATTTCTTGCTGCTAGCACAGTGTTCTTCCTAATTTTTTTTAAAAAAGGAAATGAAGTGTTGGTATTTCATGAATTTTCCTTACTAAATCTTCTCAGGAGACTTAACCATGCTAAATGTATGTCTATGTCTATATCTATAGATATAGATACAGATACAGAGATAGATAGATAGATAGATATAAATAGATTGATAGATAGATAACTTACCTGTTTCTCCTCCCCCCTATTGTAAATAGCTGCTGCTATTGTAAAGTAGAAGTGAATGAGACAAACTGAGAAAATGGATTTGATGACAGAAAATGCATTTCATGGTTTTGAAAGGTTTCATACTTGGGAGTGTGGAAGGTAAAGTAAGCAGTGTGTGTCTCTATTGATCTTTGGAGCTCGAAGACACCTATAGACAGACTTTGAGTGCCTCAGTGGTAAGACAAAGGAAAACTGCTGTATAAATGTTCTTCAGGAAGAAGAGGAGAAAATGAGAGTGACCACCATGGTTCCTTGTTGTGAACTTCAAGGGCCTAACCTACACTTTCATATTTTGGATGGTTTTAATTGTATTATAGATACAAGCACCTTCTTTCATGTATGGGCCATATTTGAAGCATATTTCTAATACGTTTCTTTTTGCTTAGTGAATTCCACGTTAGCAGCATCTTCTCTCTGGAATTTTCACACTAACAGGTTCTTTCTGCTGTGATGAGGAATAATTACCCCAAGGATCTTCATCACGGTCCTCTCCAATCACTAACAATGACATTTTTGAGCAGCTCTTTCATGTCACGTATTTATTGTCTTTTGTTTGAAAATTGGGTTTCTATGTTATCATTTTGTTGGTTCAACCGTTCCATTTCCTGATTATTTCAGACAAGGAACCAGAGGAAGCTACCACAGACCCTGTTTTGTCTTGTGTTCAGGTTTCCGAACCCTGTCTGGACTTCAGGAATGTGTAGAGAGGAGAGCAGGAGAGCCCCAGGGCTTCTGCCTTTCTCTGGCCATGGACTGAGGAGCATTTCTTCAGGCTGAGAATAGTTGTAATGTGGGCTACTGAGAAACCCTTCTGTCTTCCTTTCATGTGTTCCGGATAACAACAGAAGGCCTTGAGATAGGCAAAGGAAAACGAGCTTGGGAGCTATCGTTTTAGGCACACTCTCTGGAATGCTTATGTGGCTCAGGCTTGTCTCAAACGTTTGGGCTCCAACGATTCTCCTGCCTCAGCCTCCCAAGTTGCTGAGACTACAGTCATGAACTACCATGAACTTGTCTTCGGTGATAGCATGGAGACGCAGCCTGTGTGCAGATACCAGCCACTCCTCTGCTTTCTGAGGCCACTGCCTTAGGCCGCACGTCACCTGGACTGTGGTGGGAATGATGTAATAGGAATCTGTCTCTGTTTTGAGCCTACTTCCAGTCTGTAGAGTTGCTGATACAGTAGTATTTGTTTAGCATAGCACTTGGGAATTAGAACCCTTGCTGCACTATTTTATGCCTATATAATCTATATCCTACATTTAACTTACGGTCATGTGGAATGATCTAAAAAAAAATGTAGCTAGTATTTATTGAGCACTCTACCCTAAGTTGAGTACTTAAGTTGGAAAACTGGTATTTTGAACTGGATTCAAATTCTAACTCTGTCATACTACTTCTGTGACTTTAATCAAGTTACTTACTTAGCCTCTCTGAGCCTCAGCATATAGCAGTCATATTAGTTCACTAGGACAGCCATAGCAGAGGACCACAGGCCTTTTGCCGCTGAGAGCGCAGGCTTGTTTGCTCTCAGTGTGAGGCACTAAGGGTCTGAGGTGCACGTCTCAGCAGGCTTGGCTTCTACTGGGGTTCTTTGCGATGGTTGATGGCCATCTTCAGCGTTTCGTGTAGTAGTCAGCTCTTCATTACTGTAGCACATACCTAAGGTAATCAACTTGGAAAGGAGGAAGGCTTATTTCAGCTCAGTGTTGGAGGTTTCAGTCCACTCCAGACTGACCCTGTTGCTTTAGGCCTGCGGTGTTATAGTTCATCGTGGCAGGAGTGAATAGGGAGCAAACTGCTTACTCCACAGCTGGGATGTGAAAAGAGAGGAAGAGACTGAAGTGTCCTAGTCACCTTTAAAGACACATCCCACTGATGACATCAAACCTCCCACTCTTTTTATTTTTTGTCGGTCGTGGGGCTTGAACTCTGGGCCTGGGCGCTGTCCCTCAGCTCTTCAGCTCAAGGCGAGCGCTCTACCACTTGAGCTACAGTGCCACTTCCGGTTTTCTGGTGGTTTATTGGAAATAAGAGTTTCATAGCCTTCCCTGCCCAGGCTGGCTTTGAACTGCAATCCTCAGATCTCAGCCTCCTGAGTAGCTAGGTTACAGGCATGAGCCACTGGCGCCTGGCAAACCTCCCACTCTTAAACTTTCTTCTTCCTCCGAATAGCACTATGCGGGGGGGACAGCCTTTACCTCATAGGCCTCTGGTGTACTGCATCCAGATCAAAACTCTACCAGTCTGTGTGGTTTAAAGTGTTGTATGGTGTTGGAAACTCAGTCCCTAAGGTGGTTATGTTGAGAGAGGGATGGGCCTTTAAGAGATCAAGGGCACAGAGACCTCGTGAATGGAGCCGTAGGGGAGTGGGCTTCTGATGGAAAGACGAGGCTGGTTGGGCCCCCTTGCTCCTGGGCAGGCAGGCTCCTGACCTCTGGCTTTCCAGGCTCCAGATACACATGTACATCTCTGTTCTTTATCGAGTACCCAGTCTTGAGGTATTTTATGATAGTGACACAAAAGGTCTAAGACATAGTCCTGCCTCTGTGTCTGTCTTCATCTTTAAAAACATTTTTTAAAATAGGACTCTAGTTTCTAAAGAACTTGGCTTAATCTAATTATCTTTTTAAAAAATGTAGCCACATTTGGGAGGATAAGAATATAACACATTAATTTCTCAGGTTTATAATTTAGCCCAGAATAGTAGGTAAAATAATGTATGCCCAAGTATTTTTTTTTTTTTTTTTCAGAAGTGATTTTTTTTTATTAGTCATACCCACTCTCTTTGGAGGTATGAGAGGCTGACATGGATGCCATGAACTCTCAGATGACTTCCCAGGGAAGAGTGCAAATCCTTTGTGTTTTCATCTCTATTTGTCCCCTTTTTTTTATTTAATTTGAGAGTCAGCTTAGACCATGTACTTTTCTATTATGCTAAAGTACAATGAATGTAAATGAGTTTCAAGGAAACTTTTCAGATACCAAGTACATCTTTCTTAATCATAGAATTTAAGATAAGGTAAAATTTGCACTTAACTAAGGCATGAACTTTTGTGTATGTGTGGGCAGGGGACGTGGGGGATGAATGTCATAAAGGTTCCATAGAAAACCACAATTAATCCAAAGATGGACTTTCTGAGGGCAGTTCATCTGGAAATTAGAAGGGTAAAAGGACAGCAAAAATAGCAAGTGTAACTTGAAGAAAAATCCCTCAAAAAGATTCTGAGGGTGATAAATAATTTTAGAGTAGCCATGAGAACTTCCAGCAACTGGCTAATTTCTTTCCACCAGCGATATGTGAAGAATGGCATTCCCAGGTAAGCTTCAGTGAGGATGTAAGGCTCATCACCCTAGAGTTAATTTCATTCACTCAGCAGCCATACTCAGAGGAGGGCTGTACAGGTACACATCAGTGGTAAAGACCAATTTGGAAACACCAAGAAGATATTTCAATTGTTGCCCTTAGTCAAGGAGAAGGGTCTTATTGTATGATTTACAGTCAAGAGCAAATTGGTTCATCATTTGCAGAAACAAATATCTTCTGGGTTAAGAAACTTCATCATGAGACTTGAGATATACTGGTTTGGAAAGTTTCCTCAGTTTCTCTTGGGTTCGAAGTCCTCGGCCTTGTAGTGGTGTAAGGCTCATTGGAGGCAGATGAATTGGTCTTGGGTAAGGAATCTGGTAATGCAGTCCAATTTCAATCCTGGCAGTGCATTCATCTATACACTGTTTAATCAGGTTTATGTCTGTGAGGTTTTTGTTTTTCTGGAACAGCGCTCTGGCTTCACTGAGTATGTACTGTTTTTCTTTCATGGTGTCTTCCTTCTGCCCTGATGCTGCCTGCCATTTTCTTGCAAGTCTGAAAATTTTGCGATAGAGGCCAAGGACTTCTTGCCGTGTTGCTGTGGTCATCTTCAGACCTGTCTGCGTCAGTCCTGCCTTCCCCCACCCCGCAGCGCGGCAGCCCCCGGAGGGCTGCGAGGAGGCGGCGCCCGGAGCTTCGCCGCAGCGGTGGCCGACCGAGCTCCGCCGGCTGGTCCGGTCGTATTTTTTTTTTTTTATATTTTATTTTATTTGAGAACATACTGTACAGAGGGGTTACAATTACATGGGCAGGATAATGCATACATTTCTTACCAAGCATTGCAGCCTCCTCCTTTGTTTACCCTTCACCTCCCTTCCCAGCCTCCCCCCTCCCCCCCACCCAATCATACCCCCCCTCCCCCCCCCCCACCGACATTGTAAAGCTGGTTTTGACATGACATTTTGTACTTCTCATTGTTGCAACAGGTCCACCTGAATCCTTAAACGACTTGTTTGTCTCTGTCTCCTCCACATGTTATACTGACATCAAATATAGTGAAAGCGGGGGTTACACTGTGGGGGAGGGACATACAAAGCAACAAAGAAATAATCTTATAAATGCGTTAGAAACACATGCATGAAAGAAAAAAAAACATTAAAATACATATTTGAGGGTTCGTTTTCCTAACATCACATTATCTGACTTTTTCCGCTTGACTCATACCTATACTAGATATTGCAAATAAGTGAAACCATGGGACCTATGTTTCTTTGGGCCTGGCTTACTTTACTTAATATAATTTTTTCCAAGCCTTTCCATTTCCTAACAAATGGGGCAATGTCATTCTTTCTGATGGAGGCATAGAATTCCATTGTGTATATATACCACATTTTCTTGATCCATTCATCTACTGAGGGGCATCTGGGTTGGTTCCATATCTTAGCTATGGTAAATAATGCTGCAATAAACATAGTTGTGCTGGTAGCTTTAGTGTGGTCTTGTTTGTAAACATTAGGGTAAATGCCCAAAAATGGGATTGCTGATGCCCAAGTATTGTACTGCTGCATAGATCACTATTGTATGCAAGGCCCGGCCTGCATGTTTAGTACCAACTTAATGCCAACCTTCTCTTTGCTAGACTAGAACTGGGCCCGATCTGTGTTTTTCATTAAAAGTTGGTGAGTTGTGTTTTGATTATGTAGGTTCTTTTCCCAGTTCTCATCTTTACCTCCATTCATGTCACCAGTGAATAATTTGCTTTAAGCTGATCCATGGGGCAAGCCAAATTCAGCTGGACTCTTCTTTCATCTAGTTGGCATTAGTGTCTGAGGTTTCTCAGAATAGCAGTGGCCTTCATCTCTTGCACCTTGGAACCCAGGCCTTTGCCTGGTATTTGATAGGCAAGTGCGCTACCACTGAGCCACATTCACAGCCCACCAGCTTTGCATTCCTTAGAACTGCTTTGCTTTTCTGCTCTCTCTTTTTACATTTTTGGTGGTGCTGGGGATTGAACCAAGAACCTTTTGCATGGGAAGTACATGATCTACCACTGAACTACACTGCCTGAACATCTGTTGTTGTCAAAACCATAATTGTACATACAGGTAGGAAGTTGAGGGCAAGAAGGGATATGTGGGTAGAAAAACATGGTGAAAGGAAACCCAGGCTTACTGACTCACTGAGCTTGAATCCAAGGGAGCTGTGATTCCTCTGAGAGTGGGTCTTTCTAATGTTTGACAAGATATTAACAACCATTTGTCACCCAGAGACTTCCAAATAAAAACAGGTTTCAACTCCTAAGGTATATACACAGTCACAAAACCATTGAACTCACTCACTTCTAGTGGAAAATATGTATTTTATAAATATTATCACAAAGCTTTTGCAGACATTTTCGATACTAACAATGAGAAGTTTCCCAGAGCATTCTCTTGAGCTGAGCTGGGTTTCTAAGTGTAGTTTTCCAACTGGAGCTTGGTTTCCTGAAAGCTATTCTTGGTGTGTTAGCTGAGGGCAGCTGTTCATATCTCTTAATATTCAAGTTTGAGTCACTGGGTGGGTGGAACTGATTAGGATTCCAAAAGCAGTCCTTGTAGGCAGTTAGGTGAACTCAGGGGGGATTTACTAGCAAAGACTTGAGTCACATTATGCAGTTAAGTGGTACAAAAGTATACTTTATGTACAAAATCTGGGCAAGTCTTTGGCTTTTTCTTTCTTTTTTAAAATGCTGGTCCTAGGGCTTGAACTCAGGGTCTGGGCACTGTCTCTAAGCTTTGTTTTGCTCAGGGAGCACACCCCTTGAGCCACAGCTCACTTCTGTTTTCTGGTGAATTGAAGATGGGACTTTCCTGCCTGAGCTGGCTTTGAATTATGATCCTCAAATCTCAGCCTCCTGAATAGTTAGGATTATAGCCACAAGCCACTGGCACCTGACTTGCCTTTTGCCTTTTGCTTTATCTTTTTAGTTAGTGAAGGCACTTTATGAAAGTTAAAATATGTGGTTGGTGCAGGGTTTTTGGAAAATACCTAAAACAGTAGGACTGGAGAAAAGTGTGTGAACATTGCTGATGTGAGGCCCTGGATTTGATCCTCAGCAACAGACATCCACACACAGTTGATTAAAACCATAGTTACTGTGAATTGGTATGCTTTTCCTTTCATAAAGTTAGGTGCAAGCTATTATCATGTGTTCTGCTAAACGCTTCCCAGAGTTTCATAGTAATTCCACCTAGTTCCCAAGTTTGTATTTGCTCCATCTAAACACCACTTGGGAAGAGAAATTGTATTTATTTTGTGGACAGCTTTTGGGCTGGCCTCATATAAACATCCCTTGGACTGTTCCTATCCATAGGCAGGTTCATAGTCAAGGGAAGGAGGAGGCTTTGCATTGTAGGATTCTAGCTGCCCAGCGCCAGCTTGGGAATTAGGGTTATATTTCCAAGTTTGTATTGGTAATCAACTCGGAAACGTCTGTGGGTTTAAGTGTTGCACTCGTGAGTTAATGAAATAACCAACGGACAATAATGTTTTCTAGTATGTGGTTTCCAAGGTTGCCATGCTTACGAGGATTTAAAAACAATGATCTGTTTTTCCTGGGAGAAGTTTAAAACAATCTGTTAAAAAAAAAAAAGCATGTGTTTTGAGTAATAAAAGGGAGTGGTGTGATCCCTAGGCGGGGGTGAAGTAAGGGGAACTTTGTTCTTGGCCCATCTACTCATCTCTTCACAGGCTGCCCTGACACCAGGCGCAGATAGCATTCCTGGAAGTCCCTTTGGACAGAGATGTCCCTTTTGAGTTGCTTAGCCCTTGCTCATTTCTAGAGAAAAACCTGAAAGCAAGGGGTGTAAGTCACTTGAAGGAGCACCGCGTGTGTGTGTGTGTGTGTGTGTGTGTGTGTGTGTGTGTATGTGTGTGTGTGTGTGGAGCCCAAGCCCCAGAGCTATGCACTGCCTGGGTGATGATTCATCCTTGGGCCTGCCACTCCAGCTATGTGGTCTTGGGCAAGGGCCTGCCTCTCTGTGGCCCAATTTCCGCTGTTGGAAAGTGGGAGTGACAGATCTGAACATTTATTGGGAGAGCAAGTTTTTGTATGTAAGGCATTCAGAGGAGAGCCTGTGCATATAGTTAGTTCTGTTCCAGAGCTGCCTTTTGTTAATTAGCACCATAGTGTATACTAAACTCTTGTATGTCCTTGACCTTGATCAATCTCAGTTGATCTCCCATTTAATTTTCCCCCATTCCTGACCTCATTTGTCCCAAGTTCTCCAGCACAATTCTAAGGTTGCCAGGTGGAGTTAACACAAACTCTTGAATCTGATGTTGTAGGGCCAGTTTGGTTTGTGTGTAGGAGTTTGTGGGACGGGGTGGATTTCAGGACCTGAGTTTGGGGCTGTGAGATTTAAAACATCTTTAAGGTGGGGATTATTTTAGGAACATTTCTAGGTCAAAGCTTTATCTCTTTCTTTGAGCTTTTTCCATATCATGGCATACATATTTATCTGTTTATTTTTATTCTTCCTGGCTCGGCCCCTTTATCTCCTGTGACTTTGTTTATTTTATGGGAGTTGGGCTACCACCTAGGCGGTACATAGCTGGCTGTGGAAGGTTGTGCAAGTTCAAATAATAGACTTTTTCCCAGCTACTCGTGTGTGTGTGTGTGTGTGTGTGTGTGTGTGTGTGTGTGTGTGTGTGTGTGTGCGCACCTACATGTTGTCCTTTTCTGTGGGCTGCAGGAAGAGCAGAGAAGACAACATTTGTCATTTCCAGGATTCTCCAGCTGTTTGTGTTGAAGGCCTGGTCCCAGTGCAGCAGTGTGCAGGGTGACTGGATCACAAGGGGATCCAGCCTCGTCAATGACCTGGTCAGTCCACAGATGGGTTCATAGCTGACTGGACGTTAGGAGTGGAAAGAAAGGGTGCCAAGGCCTTATCTTGTCCTTGGTCTCTTCCCCTTCCTTCTTTTCTGTCTGCCAGGAGGTAAGTGGCTTTGCTTCACTGTGCCCTGTTGTTAGGATATTTTCCTTCATCATGGCCCAGAAGCAACAGAGCTAGCCAACCATGGACTTCTGAAACTGAGCCAGCCAACATCTTCCCTCTTCTGAGTTCATTGGTCACAGTGACAGAGAGCTGACTAACAGTGACTTTCTTGAACAGTGAGAAGCAAGAGTGTATGAGTGACAAAGAGAGGCGGGGATTACCCATCCTGTGATGTGTTAGCCCTTTTCATTGGAGATGGGCTTCTTTGTCCTTCACATCACCTTGATGAGAAGGTCCAGGGTTGCTGGAATTCTGGGAAGCGGGGACATTCGCATTATGTTTGCAGTTGTTCTCTCCCATCTCTTTGTTCTGGTGGTTGCCATGATGTGGCCACAGTTTCAGCATGTCTGCTACACACATGCCATTACAGTGCCAGTCCACAGTTAGGCCCATTGTAGTCTGTTTGGTCTCTGAGTCTTTGGCCGACTCCTTTCTCTGTGTTAAATCCCTAGATCAGAAGAAGAAGCGGGTAGTAATTACACACTTGCTTTCACTCCTCCTCCCTAGGAAGTCTTTGTCGGATCATTGATAACTGGGTAGAAATCTGTCTTGACACATGCTGGCTAAATGTCACTTCTTTGCACCCAGAAGTGGCACACTGTAATCCCTGCTCTCGAGGTTTGCAGTGTTATCCTCTTGCTCCATTGTCATTTTGGCAAATGTTGGATGAGTGCAACAGGAAATGGGTTTGGTTAG